AGTCATGTTCCCGAGGCGAGTGGGGGAGATGTTGAGATCCAGCTTGAAGGACCAAGCTGTCAGAATAAAAATGAACAAAAATGAGCAACAGTCAAGAACTGTGGTGTTAATTCTTGGTAGGGAGCAAAAACACAAGTATGTTGTACAGACCCAGCTCAGAGGCCAAATGTGACATGATGTTTGGATGCAAACTATAATGTGATAAATAGAATCACTATAGACTGGTATCATTTTCTAAATTCTGCCAATACAAACAAAGGCAATAGAATTTTAAGCAAAAGAAAAGACATTTATGTGCAGTTGGTTCAGTTTGTCAGGATGGCCGATGGTATCTTGATGTGGGGTTTTTTGCACTGACACGCACAGCTAAAAAATGCCTCGATGGGGGTGGTGCAGTCCATAACCACTGTAACCAGAAATACCACATTGTTTGCACTTCCAAGCAAGCAACATGTATTTTAATTTAGCAATAGAAACGTGTGTTTTTGGCAGGACAGCAACATCTTTTCCAAGTGAGCGGATTATTTATTTTATTTCACTGTTTTATATACTTTTAACTCAAACCATTAATCATTACTTGTGTCCACAACCTTTGAAATGATCACACACACAGTGCTTTACTTCAAAAGTTAGAAATAGGCCATAAATTAACTTTTTTCATTTAAAAAAGAATTAAAAGACTTTTAAGAATGTATTAAGTTATTTAACCATTTTATTTAACATTTACTGTCAGGCAAAACAAGCATACATTAAATCAAGTGGTTAAATTATTATTTATTTGTTGTTTACAATTTTCCAAATTTTAACTTGAAATTATTTTTACATACTTCATTATAAAAACGTACACCTGCTCAAAAACACAGCACTTTGACCATGGGATTGGCAGTGCTGTTTGAGCATACAGTTACTCTGTCAGCTTAAAGATGACCTGAATGGTATATTGATCCTTTGCTTCAGAAACTTAAAGTAAAAAACAAACAAAAACATGTAAATAACATCAAATATTAAACCCTTAATTTTTCACTCATATTTAAGTGAGTGCACAGTTATTTCCTTCATCTCCAAACCGCTTGCTACATCCTATTGTTCCTGAGTTACAGATCATGCCTTTTCCCATAGCACCCAAAACTGGACACCAAATTTAGCAAATTCTCCACTGCATATATAATGTACAGTATTTCACTTTTAAATCTCTCATATACTGTAATGACCCACCTGCTTTGGTCACTTCTGATGTATGACTTTTGTCTATGTTATCTATAGATAGATAGATAGCTATATCCCCCAGGTAGGTAATAAAGGAAACATGAATCATTTCTTTTTTATAGGTTTCATCGTGAGGTGCTGTGCAGCTTTCCAGATTTTTATTTTGATTAGTGATGTGTAATTATAATCATATTGACAGTACAGCCCCTTTGTTCACTTCAGAAGTACCTTTCAATGAAGTGCTGGAAACATTCCTCAGAGATTTTGTTCAATATTGATGTGATGAAGATTCATCAACTGCACATCCATGATGTAAATGTATATTCTACCATATCCAAAAGGTTATCTGATTGAGATCTGGTGATATCATATATTTGATCATATTTTTGCCAACTTGTGATATTGATGGCCTATATTTTACTGCACATTCTTCTTCCCTTCTTGTAAACGAAGCACACATTCAAACATGTGGTTGTGAATTCATAGACTTTGTATAACAAATTCCAAAAGTAGGCTACTAGGGCAGCCCCATGCCCGCTTAGAGAAACGGTGTAAAATTTCTTTAAAATGACATACAAGTAGGGTCAGTGCATCTAGCCAATTAGGGGCACTAATGTTTGTTTCTTTATAGACAAAATAGCCCGCTGCCACAAGTTCCTATCCCAGACATTGCTCGTGGGATTCCAGTCATCGTAGCAGTGACCTTGTTTGAACACCCAGCTGCAGCACTCCACTTGTTCCCCCAGGCTACTCTCTCCGGGGACCCTTTTTATATCAGCAAATAACAAAAATGCACTGTCTACTTTCCATTTTTTGTTGTGTATTCTCTAGACTCTGAACTTGATGAAAAAAGAGAGTGAGGATATATTCATTTTCATATAAAAGCTTTTTGAGTCAGGGGCTATTTGGAGGAAACACAAGGCCTCAAAGACTCACATGTTCTCCGCTCACAAACTCACCAAGTGGACTGCCAAAGCGACAAACAAAATGTCATGGGTGACACAAACTGAAATGACATCTCTTCAATCTCGTCGGTTGTTCCTGCCGGTGATATCAACTTGTGTGACTGTAATTCTCCTGATAGGATGGTGGGGGCCTCCTGCTTTTCACCAATCAAAATCAAACACAAATCTTGTGTTGACAACAAGAAGAGGACAACACTCAGTGTGTCAGGACAGGGAAACCATTTTACTTGCTGTGAACCCAAAACAAAAGATGCAGAGGCTTTATGTAATGTATCTTTTGATTTATTTTTTTTTATAGTAAAATAGATCCTTTCACATGCAAATCAAATGCATTCGCTGAAGAATATGAAAAAAGGGACACAACAATGGCACTCAAAGAAATACATTTTACAAAAAGGCATAGAAAAACACTCAAATACCGATGAGAATCTGAGTTTTTCAGCACATTTTCTTTCATTTGTCACAACCTACACAATTAACTAGAGGAAACATCTAAGGGAACAACACAGCTGTTTTTGTGAACAATCACAAAACATTTAATCCGAAACAGCCATTTAAAAAACTTTATTTTTTTAAATGTGGGAACATTGCTCCTCCCCCAGATGCTGACAAGACCAGTTATGGTTTTCCAGAAAAGTTCCCACATACCTCTTTCTTCTTCTTTGATAATTCAACTGAGACCAAAATCTTCCAACTGTGACGAGAGTCTTTCAGCCTTAAGGTTTCTTGAAAATCACAAGGTGTGTTTATGTTTCCTGGAATCTCTATTGTCTTTAACAGCAAAATCTTTCTCTCACTACATTATGTCATAAAATGTTTGAGTATGAATACCCGCACCTCATCGTTTTGCCAGTACTGCCAATCCAGCCACTGTCATTCAAGTTAATTTAGTTTACTGAAACTCTTTAACCCTCAAGTGACCAAGTGGGATTATTTATGATCCCAGATTTATACTGATATATATCGTTGATCATTTTAATTGTTAAAATGCTTCATACTGCTACTATTTTTCATTAACATGAATTGGCACAGTGGTGTGACAAGGATAATATAAAGTGGAGGTTGAAATATATATATCTTTATATATCTATATATCTATATCTATATATCTATATCTATATATCTATATATCTATATCTATATCTATATATATCATGACTATCAAGATTGATTTTTATTGATCTTCAGTGATGTAAAAAATAATGGAAGACCATAATTATTTAATTTAACGTATAATAGAATATCTATCACAGATATAGAAACAGTATGGGGGAATATAATGTAGTTATTTAAGCGGCTTGGTAGCTCAAGGGTTAAAAAGTCAAGTACAATTAAGCTTGTTGACCTCACTATGCTCATAAATAGTTGTGCAAAAATTGTGATAAGTAGCTTCTGAAGTACTTGCACAAACATCATCTTTTATGTAAGAAATCTACACAGACATGCAGTGAGAGCTGGAGGATTAAGCACTTTTGTATTGAGAATTGTTTCTATTGTCCTGTAAATCCACTGCCACAAAGCTAAAACACATATTCACACTATCTGTGTATCAGATAGGGCATCTTAGTTTACCTTAATTTTTTTCTTGTATTTTTCTAAGAAAAAAAGCCCTTGTTGTAAGATTTTGGAGATGTTTGGTTAATAGTGGATGTTACTGTAGATAACAAGGACAGAATACAGAGGGGCATAAACTCCATTTGTGAACACTTTCTGTTTTAGTATTCTATTTTTTTCTCCAGTCTCTCAGCACAGAATAGAAAACAGGTCATGTCAAACACACAAATGTGCCACAGGGTAGTTCTTTTGACCTGGAGAGCTGGCCAAATTTCTCAGTTTCTCAACAATACAAGTTGGAGATGTTTTGAATATACAAACACAAGCTGGCAGTCATCAAGATCTAAGCAGATGGGGTCGCTGAGTACCCTCGTGGCACTCTAACAGAATGGCCTTTACTCGCTCTCACTCTCTCCTGAAGATCTCATTTATTTAACAGGATGTCGCCCTCTTGTGGTCCCTGCTGGATGTTATTGTCTTCTCTCAAAAAAACAGCAGCAGTGGAGAAACTTTGCTTACTGGAGAAGAATGTAATGAGGGTTGATATGCCTTGTAGGGAAAAGACTGACAGGGACTGGCAAATTCTCAGTAAATCACCTATGGCTTATTGCGATTAGGGTCGCTTCAGACAAGCCAATCACTGCTTTGGGTAAGGCGGGTTGGATTGCTTCGGGTGACTTATGTCTGTCTAATGATGGCTGGGCTTGATGAATAGACATGTGGAGCCCAGTGGTGAACAATCCAAAAAGGTTTTTCAAGCACTCTGCTGCACTGTATTCCATATTTAGAAAGCTATGTGTTCAGCCACTGCTTCACGAGTGATGCTTTGTTTAACTCATTTAATGTTTACTGAGAGAATTGTAGACTTTTAACATGAAATGTATTAAATCAACTTTATTTACTTTCTTTTTTAATGGTTTTTCCTCCTGCCTTCATACAGCTTGTTTGGGAAGCTACTGGGGAGCTCGAATTATTTGAATTACTTGGCACTTGGATTCAATGACCCACAACGGTGTTCATCAGATCTCAGACCAGTGTTGAAAAAGGAGTGACACTGTTTATTAAAATACAGCCCAGAGGTTTTTTTTTTTTTTTACATACATTAAATACTGATACGGCAACATACAAGGAAAAGACTTTTTTTCTTTACTTCTTTAAGTCACTGTAGTTAACATATTATAAAAATATACTATGTACTATTTAACATTTTTTTTTACAATTAGAAGGCAATTTAAATCACAATAAACATAAATATTCATACAGCTAATTCATTTTCAAAAGATCTTGTTTTTTGTTTATTTATTTTACAAAACAAAACAAAACTTTATTGAAAAACAGAGTGTTTTCATATAAAACACTGTCTGGAACATAACATTTGACTCCATTTTGAAGTTTTATCATTTTAAATCCCATATGAAAAAATGCAAGACATACTGTTGTACAAAAAAAGAAGGAAAAACAAAAAGAAAAATGACTTTTACAAAAGGGTTGGTCTCACATAGGCATATTTCCACAAGTGGAGTAGCATGGCCACAGTATTCCAAAGCTACAAACAACCAGGCTTCGTGGCAGCCTAGCATAAAATCTTGGCACTGACAACTTGCATCACACAAACAGTGTTTGGTCTCACTGTGTTATAGTAATGGCTTTAAACCTTTTCCATTACAATGTTGTAATATTGCAGCCTTGTGCATCTAACACTGGACTTGTAGCACTGGGAAGACATAAGTGACACAAGTATTGTCAATAGAAAAGGAACATTACAGCTGGTTAAGGTGTTGCTGGATGCAGGTAGCATTGGCAACTGGTATCTTCTCCCCAGTATCAAGCCCCGTTGATGACACCACCAGGGGGCAGCCAAACACAAGGCAGATAGAGGAACGATGGTACTGAGCCATGAAAAGCCATAAGGAGAAAATGAGATATTTAAGAATAAACTATAAAATCTGGATCGCTTCTGCACCTTATTATTTATTTTTTTCACAGATAATTTCAGATGTAGACTGGATAAAAATCCACCAGCTGTACTCATAGGTTTCTGTAGCAGCTGGTGTACTACTGTTATCAAAAAATACACAACAAACATTTACAAACACACGGTCAAATGCAAAGTCACAGCAATATAACACTATTAATGAAGCAGACATGGAACATGAGTGACAGGACACAACCTTTCAGGAAGGTGATCTTCTCACTGCACTATAAAGCCAATCCTTTGGGCGGCACCATGGAATCATGCATCATTTTATTGCATTTACATTGTGATCATCGACAATTTGGAATCAGTCTAATTTTGCAAGAGAACACATTATGATCCTGGGATTCTCCTGAAAGGGTGAACGGGAAGAAAACAGGTCAATAATCTGCTTTGGGGCTTGAGAAGAACGACACATGTAAACGACAGACTGTAGCCTAACATAGTTTGTGTTGGTGTGATGTTTCAAGTTAAACAGTGATTACCCAGACAAAACAATTTGTCAGCTGCAATATCACATGTTTTTTTTTCTCTCTTTTTTTTTCTTTACACACCATCATACGCAAACACGCATCTTCTCCAGCTTGCAGGATTCTGTAAGGCATAGTGGTATTTAAATATCCAAGAAACATTGCAACAGCTCATCATCCAGTCTCCAATATTTACATGTTTTCAATACGGGTCACTGTTTCTGGGGTTAAATCCATACAGAGGGCTTGCCCTCTCCTGATTTGCTGCTGCTACTGTTGCTGCTGCTTCCACCTCCACTGCTCCCGCCTTTCCCATGCTTAAATCTATGCTTGCGCTCTTTCTGAGGCTGGGGTTGTGGCTGAGGTTGGGCCTGGATAATGTTACTTTGGGGCTTGTCATCCTGGTTGTCCCCAAGCTGCTCCTCTGCCCGGTGCTGCTGACTGTAGGCCTGGATAGCTGCCTCCAGTTGCTCATGAGCTTGCTGGATCATGTCTTTGTTCAGGGCTACACGGGCCTCTCCTCCAGTGGGGAAATTGTCCTCATTGCTCCCAAACTGCTGCTGCTCCTCCTGGGCAATGTTAGCCCTGTTCTGTTTGCATGCCATCTTAGCGTTGCTAAGATCTGTGTAGGGCATCTGTTCTGGCTTCACAACAATGTTGTAACCAGGTGGAGCTGACGGGGTGTTCCACGAGAAGGGGTAGCCAACATAATCGGCAGCACCATCTCCTCCTACGCCTCCCTCAGAACCTGCCTCAGGACCTGCTGCCCCTACTGAGCCCTCCACACCCCCACTGGTACCCAACAGGCCCAGCTGGTACTCATCCTCCTGAGGTGGGCAGCGGCGACGGCGAAGAATGTCACAAATGGAACCAATGCCCAAATGGAGCATTTCCCAAACATTGAGTGTGAGGCAAAGGACAGTGACACCATACATGATGCGCAGGAAAATGGTCTTCTCTGTAGGCCTCGACACAAAGCAATCAACACTGTGTGGACAAGGTTTCCCTGAGCACACAAATATGGGCATCACACGGAAACCATACAGCAAATACTGGCCTGTAAGGAAACCAGCCTCCAACACCGTACGAGTCACCAGCTGCAAAACATAGACCCGCATTAGCCCTTCATCTCGGATTCGCTTACGCCCATCATGTCGGATTTTGGGTCTGGGTGTAGGCTGCAGTGGGTCCCGTGGCCTTTTTGGGGGCTCGATCTCCGGCACCTCATAGATCATTGGATCATCCTCCTGGTCTTCCTCGGTCTCCTCAATGCCTCGGTGCTGTCTTGCTCCAAAGCACATTTTCCTAGGTTTTCTGTGCGTGTAGCCCCCTCCTCCTGTCCTAACAGCAACAGATCCAGCTCCTCCTTTGGCTTCATCTAATCGTGCAATTCTGTTGACAGCATAGCCCATGTACATGAGAGAAGGCATTGCCACCAAGATAATCTGGAAGACCCAAAAGCGGACGTGAGACAGAGGGGCGAAGGCATCATAGCAGACATTCTCACAGCCTGGCTGGCCTGAGTTGCAAACAAACTTGCTCTGTTCGTCGTAGTAGATGGACTCTCCCCCGACGGCAGTAAGAACAATGCGGAAGACGATGAGCACGGTGAGCCACAGCTTCCCCACGAAGGTGGAGTGGTTGTGGATCTCCTCCAGCAGCCGCGTGAGGAAGCTCCAGCTCATGGTGTCGCTGGACAGTGGGGCAGACAGTGTCCCTCTCTCACCTGTTCACAGACTCTGGAGAAAGTAAAGAAAGAGAAAACGTGTCAAGACAAGAGTGAAACAAGGAAGGTACAGCGAGCTGACAGTAAATGCCTCCACACGAGTATCACCAACATTTCAAAACACGATCAAAGCATTTAGTCACTTTTGTCCAAATATTAATAAGACTTTAATTCGTGCAGAAATAGCATTAGCCCTGCAAGTTTAGCAGCAAGATGGTTAAGGGTGTGACATAATAATTGCCTTAATTAAAATGAATGTTCCCCTCTGATCTCACGGAGTCACTAAGTCCTTAATTTGATCTGTTGCTCTATACATTTCAAATGCAAGCCCACTGATTTTAGCTCAGTGCCACAGTGAGGTTGCTGTCAACTTTGGGCTTTTTAGAGAATTAGCAGACCAAACAGGGTGGAAAGAGGATCTCAGTATTAAAAAAAATACCATCAAACAGCACTGAGAAGGAGCTGAAATAATCCAAATAGGGAATTTGCTATCACCAAATACACACACACTTTATTTAACAGCCTATCTCTTTCAGAAGAAATAAATCCTCTTAGTGAGCCTTCTTCTGTATGAGGTGCAGTTTTCAGGATTGTATTAACTTCGCTGGTTTGTTCTGGTTGGGAGGTAAATGGAATTGAACTCTACTCTGCTGCATGTGTGCATGTGCAGTTCAGGGATAGAGACATGTTGCCTATGTAGGTTAGGTCTGGGCTCCAGGCTGTCCGTCCTCACCAGCAGAACCAGCAGGTGGCCAGGCGCAAGCTACTGGAGCGGGATTTCAGACAGCAGACCCACATTATCTCAGGCAGTGGAGCTGAACCCAAACACTGCTGTCCCTGAGGGTGGCTTTGGGGGATGAGTGTGGCACCTCCACAGAACTTTCCCCCTTATGAAGGCACAGTAGCGCATGGCTTATTGTCAGCTTGACTGAGAGGAAAATCCAGGCATGAATACGAGATTAGTTTGGGCTTTAAAGGGCTTCCAGGGACGATATCCTTACCAAGCAGGTTGAGAGCTTAGTTCAAATGAGCTACATTAAGAGAGAAAATGTAGCTATAGCAGAGATGCATGAGCTCCCAGCCCTCTGCTTTGTGTCTCCAGTAGGAGTCAAGAGGGCGGGAATGTTTTGAAGAAGGCTTGTGATAAAACATGTCGTAAGTATCGATCATTCTGACCATATAAGGGCATGCCTGAGACACAGGAGGTAGATGTCAGGAATCCTCTGTGTGAGTACGCTCCGGTGTGTGTATTACCAACACGTGAGTGCACAACAGCTCCTTCTGAGAGTCTTTTTGCAGTTAGAGTGAGCGTTGAAGTCCTTGAAAGAGCGCCAACTCCAAGAGTCTGTGAGCAACAAATATGAGTAAGCAGCACATGGCCGGAGCGGAGCAAGAGGTTGCCATAAGCACAAAGAGTCATAACAGTGTCCTTTCATCGTGGACCTCTGTCTGACTGTTCCTGCATTACATCACAGCATTTCTTTACATAATTCTTCTGCACAGTTGTCCTTTAGCTAATAATATCTAGTTCCACAGACAAAAAAGCAACCACAGAGATGAAAGTTTGATTAAATAAGGCTATTCTATCTATCTTACTCTATCTTTTCTCTCTGTCTACTTTCTGTACTTTTCTACTTCTTATTTATGGTAATGGTATTTTCACATTGGACCTTTTGATATATTTTTGACCCTTTTCTCCCGTGACCTAATCACCTAACAGGTACTGTTGATTTGGTGTGTTATTCACACAGTCACTTTACAGCACTACTTTAACTTGTTCAGTCATGGAGCTGATTTATTTTGAATTTTACAGATCCCAGACACTTGAACTGCAAGCTTGCTTTATTTATTATTTAATTTACTGGCTTGTATTTGCAAATCTTTTTTCCCCGATATCTGATACGAGCTCTATTTGGTCTATTCTAATCACGTGGTTAAAGAAATTTAGCGAATGAAGCCTAAAACTGCACTTCCTCAATTGGCTCTAAAACAGAGTTAACTCCTACTGACTCAGGTGGTGAAATACCCAAATTCCAGAGCAGAGGTGAGTACATCTATATCAGAGCACAGACTGATATGTAAAACAATTTTGGTTTCTGCAGCTGTTTTTCTACTTTGCTATTTTATTCATCTGTTAAAAATTGCCTTACTGGTTAAGCATTATAGCTGATAAAGCAATGCTGCACCCTTTTATCCAAACGTACTGATAATACAGTTAACCCACCATAGTTTTCAATTATAGATACAAAAAAAGATTAAAAAATGTTCTGTAGGTTTGTAAAACTTGCATGACAACCCTTTTATGCATTTAGCTTGAGGCTTAGGTTAAAACAATCATTGAAAATCCACAAGTAATAGAGGAACTTCACTATGTCCTTTGATGGGCCCTTGTTCACCCGTGTTAAGTCCTTAGGTCATTTTTGCACCAGGAATTGAAAAGCTTCACCCTGACCAGGAGAGATGCTCTGATCCAGGCACATAGCTGCCTGTGTTTAATCCTCCTGCTACCTTAGTTGCATATAACCTGGCATTTTGCTTTCTCATCCAATTTACGTCTTCAGGAGCTAGTGGGGCAGTTAGGGGTAAGAAGCTGACTCCGTGCATTAAGTTACCGAGGTGAGTCAGCCTCCCGAATAGCACCGTGCAGACACAACAGGCAGACTTTCTGTCAAAAACTTTGATATGAAGAATGAACAGCAAATTGGTGGAAATCATGTCACACAAGAAAACGTCAAAAAGCACAGCAGACTCTAGTTCAAAAGTTAAAAATGGTAAGAGTCACAAGGAAATCCCCTCCAGTGTAAACACAGCAATTTTCAACTAATGAGCTTTGAAAGAGAATCACAGTCAGGATCAATGGCTCCACAGCCATCTGCGAAAAGGTCATGACTGTGTAATCACAGGTCAACAAACACAGATGTATCAGTCTCTCTTTGATATATCGGAGCCACGCTGAAGTACAAGGTCAGAAGTTAACACGATCACTTCTCGGGGGTTGAAAACTCCACATCACAGCCCTTACGTACTGAATCTAACAGACAGTTACAGTGAGTGTCACCGCAGGGATCCCCTCAGTCACTAACTCTTCTCCTGCAGGATCCACAGAGACTCATATCCAGATATAGTATGTAGACCGACAGACAAGCAGACACACTTACAAGTTCAAAGGCCCCTTCAGTTTAATGCCTGTGACTTGGCACACACTAACTTGGACTATTTTTGGAGCAAGTTGTGCATTTAAATATTGAACGCTGTACTTAAATTACATATATATCATGTTTTGCATAGGTTTATTTTATACTTTATGTACTACCTTGAGAAGAAGGACTGAATGTCTAATGGTTTTTTGCTACGTTTCAGGGCAGTTTGAATAATAAATGTACTGTAAAACAGAGAAAAGAAAAACCTCTAATGAGCGCGTGTAAAGCTAACAGATTTATTAGCGTTTGGTTGAACTTTAATTAAGTGAAGCACACTAATGCGTATATTTATACATTTGTTTCTGTTTGTATAACTCTTACTGCATAACTCTATTACTGGTCACCATATTTAGAAATGCATATTGCGATTGCATTGATTTTTTGGGGGGAACATTTTCCATAATTAACATATTGCACTTTACTCCGACTGTACTCATTCACAGACCAGCAAACCTGTACAATTACAGTAGTGGTCATTGATCAGTCAGTCCGCAGCCATTAAAGTACAGATTGTTTTCCCACAGGGAATTAATTTTCTTAGTCTGCTAATCATCCATTAGATCTCTCTTAGTGTTTTTAAAGTGATTGTAAAGAAAAAAAAAATCACTGTCAGCGTTTTATTCAGTCGACGATGATTTGGCTCCTGATCCTGCTGATCTGCTGTTGGACTGCTGCCTTTAAAACACTCCTCATTTGAACTTTTACTGCCTTCTGGGACCTATCTGTAGATGTTAGTGGCAGACAAAGTTTCTCTTTCTTTTCAGTATCTAACCAGAAACGTTATCACATTGATAATCACAGCATGTTAATGTAAAAGGTTGAATAATTTCAACCTGTATTATATTTTGTTTTTGCAGCAGTTTTAGGTGAGCTGTGAAAACAATGCAACCTAAACTTTATATGTCTGCTTCCCTTTTTGTCCTCTGTATTTTATTTATATTTTATTTATATTACTTGTCTTCAACAAGGCCCTGTGTCAAGGTTTTGTTGCATTTAGTACTTACTAAATCCAACAAGACAAGTACAATACTAGTACTTAGTACTTATAGAGTTGAGCTGATGGGTTATCTTCTTTCACTAAATAAAAATCACATCTACAAAGTCATATAGTGAAAATAAACATTCAGCAATTATTGCTAAAGCAGAATATCGTGGCTGTCAGGCAGGCAAACCAGCTAGAGAAAAAGAACTATTCCACTGGGAGAAGAGTTAATTGCGCTGCTTGCTTGTCAGAAAGTCACATTTTCAATTTTTATATTAACATGAATTTAATCAGCCGAGTTCCAGTGCTTGAGTTCCAAGCTGCCCGTGCTCTAAATGCTGTAGTGTGTTCAGAAATTTAATATGCTGTCCTTGGAAAGCTTAATCACAAAAAAGACATATTTCTTTCCAAAGAATGAACACTGCAGCTAATAATTAATTTGCGTTGCAATGGAAATTCAGGCACAGTGAAGTCAGTTGTGTATGTGTTGAAGCCTGTCATTAGTCTTTTCTGCTATTGCATTTTATATCATACCAAGAGAGTGACATGTCTTATTCCACAATTCACCAGAAATGCTGATTGTTCTGTTAACACTAAAAAAGGAAGCCTCAGAGTTATCAGAGGAAAGACCGAGACTTCTGAGCATCTTCTAGAGTCAGAACTCCTCTGCCTGTCCTTGTGTGGGGGTCAGCACCGTAGTGCCCTCTCCCTCTGTTCTGCCAGTGGCATCTTCAGGCTTCACTGTTGCCCTTCACAGTCCCAACTTGTCCTACGCAGACGGCACAGATCAAACTAATCTGCTCACGCAGTAGCTGGCCAGACATCTGTCCA